AAAACAGTTAAGTTTGAAAAGGTTGCATGTCACGTTAATTTTACGGTTATTTACTGACTGTGTTAAAACCAGGGAATCAACATTTTAAGAATGCGTCCGATCGATTGCGAGTGTATCATCTTACGAATGTATCTTTTTATCTCGGCGTAATCCGCAGGAACGTTTAGCATGGATTTCTTTGTTCCTGACGTCATCAGTCGAAAATTGCGCGGCCTTCAGACGCGGCGGTTACGTCCATCGTCGAGATCGCGTAATCTCACCGAAAGTCACGATGAACTTGTACGACGCAACTTGTAAAGATGCCAGTGCCGAAAAATCCATGCGGAATTCCAACCAGCAATTGGCAAACTTGCGATTTCTACAGATCGTCGACATCCTCTGGATAAAAAGGAGGATGTGGAAGTTATGTACGCGAAGGAAGGGGTTGTCGCGATCGGCATGAGAGAGAGAGAGAGAGAGAGAAAGACGCTGTTGTACGTTTCCTTCGCGTATTCGCTGAGCGCAAATCGCTGACTGGTCCATACGTTGCTTTCTTTTTCAGACTGCAACCTCTGCGTGGCCTGCATGAAGATATACAAATGGCGGAAGTCACTGCACCGTCACGTGCGCGACAACCCTCACTGCTGGCCGATCCTGCTCACTACCGGCAGTAACGATCTCATTGAACAGATCCACAAAAGGATGCGGATATACGAGCACTGATGATGTTGAAGCTTCGAAGAACTGGCGCTGGGCCGACGGTGGCGGCGGCGGCGGCGGCGGCGACAGCGGCGGCGGCGTGAAGAGAAGCGTACCGCGAACTGTGCGACACCTCTTCTCTCTTATCTCTTTGTTGTTTTTTGGAATACTTTTTTGATAAAGAATAAAGCTGATATGTATTCTCCGATACACAATATACCGTTGCTGTATCTCACACTCGCTAGCGGCTACACTATCTGCGCGAACGTACAGCGTACAGGTCCGCTGGCGGTCAATGTGAAAACCAATAAAACGCAAGACCCTAGATTCTCGCTCTCGAGTCTCAGTCCGATTCGAACCACGCTCTCGGTGGCTCTCTCGTTCGTTTCTGATCGAGCTACCACGGCAACGACGACGACGACGACGACGACGACGCGTTCCGAGTCCGCAGCGTCGTCGAGGTCCGTAGCGTCCGTGTTCCGCGCGACTTTCCTCCTTCAATAAAAAGTCTCTCTCTTTCTCGGCAAGATGGGTACTAATCGTTAGAGATGATATCTTATTGTTACTTAAAGAGAGTCGGCCGCTCTCTACAGATTACGCGCTGCGACAGATACTCCCTGATACGATGGTCTTTTACAGATTTCTCATCGAACCAGCCCCGGCGAAATCCCTTGCTACACGGTGGTGGATACCGCTGTGACAACTGTCACAGGGTGTACTCTAAGTCGTACTCGCTTAATCGCCACCTAAAATTCGAGTGTGGTCACTCACCTCAATTCCACTGTCCTCACTGTCCATTCAGAACGAAAAGGAAGATCAACCTGGACTACCACATCGCCCGCAAGCATCGTTTCAACAAGCAGGACATCGTTTGACAGAGAAGCCGGACGGATGATTAAGCCCTAGAAAGAAACGACTAATATCTCGAGACATCAGCGCGTAATATCTTGTCATGTACATATAACTCGAAAATAAAGACACGTCTACCGATAGGAACGCGCGCGCGCACCTCTATGTGAATTTTTGCAAGTTACAAATTGTACATTCACCGTAGGACAAAGTGCCTGAAGAATCTTTCAGTAACCGTCATACTCATGTACTCTGTATAGCACACTATAATCACATCTACATCTCTATGTATATATTAATCATATCATCGCAGCATATTGTGCATTGACGAAGAGAAACAAATAAATGTGCCTTCTTTGATACTCAATCACTTTGATGCGATCATCCGTACGCTCATCAATCTCGTTATCTTCTTTTCACCCTCGTCGCCTTCACCTCTGTCATTCTAACCGTATGGCATCGCAAATCGCCGACGGGAGAAGAGGGACACCCGGTGCAGGCTTTTCACGGCGCTACGAGCCGTACGAGCTATAATCGGGCGGTCTGCCGGAGGAGCCAGGGTCACTTCTCGCAGAGTTCGATCACACTATGAATCATTCATTGTCACCCGCCATCTCTGTGTCACCCTCGCGCGCGCGTGCGCGAGCGGCGATAAGGCGATCTCTCATTCAGAGCTTTCACCGCTCCTCGCTCCTCGCGCCCGGCTTCATGGCGAACTGTTACTGACGTGAGTATTCACTCTTTCGATGGACAGAGCCGCGGAGAGAGTGAGAGAGGCTCCTCTCTCTCGCGGTCTATCCTGAATTCTCGATGTAGAGCCGCAGTCAAGGTCCGAAGCCATGCCGGCCGACGGATATTCAGCTGGGTGAAACCGGACCGTGCACGACCTCGTGCGACCGTCGCTCGCGGATCACCAGAGCATGTACTAAGATGCCGCCTGGGCATTTCTGTTTCAGGTTGTCTCGACGCCTTCAGGTTCTCCGAGGTCTTCAAGAAACCCTTCCCCTGTAGGCACTGCGACCGCAGCTACAAGAACAAGAGCTCGCTGAATCGCCACATACAATACGAGTGCGGCAAGGAGAAGCAGTTCACCTGCCCGATCTGCCAGCGAAGGCTGATCCAGAAGAGCACTCTGCACAAGCACATGCTTGCCGTCCACGGGATTTGAACGCGACGGGAGAACGATCGTCCGACAACTCGTTCTCGTTACTATTCTACTTCCGCAATGATACTTCGTGTTCTTTTTTTTATTTTCCTTGCCCGGATATTGATTGTCCTTTTTTTTCTTCGACGGAATAACGGCGGTCGACGGACGTGGTCTGGTTCGCGTTTGCTCGCTCGGCGAGCGAGTGATTCATTGGACAAGCAGACCGCGTCCGCGTCGATTCATCATTTTGATGATCTGTGTGTATAATACACACAAACGCACACACACACACACACACGCGCGCGCGCACACACACACACACACACACACACACACACACACACACACACACACACACACACACATACACACACACACATATATATATATATACATACTTATACATATAAAATATCTATAAACATAAGTTTGTATATGTACGATCGTTATATATACACTGTTTTACATCACATATAAATTTCCTCTGAGTATAAAGACTCCTTTCATTGTACGTTTGTGCATTGTACATTGATCTAGACCTAACGGCTCGACACGCCGCGAGATCGTCCTATGTCGTTACATCCTGTTTTGGGTATCTTGTTTGGATGGTTGGAAACTGGTGTTCTCTCACATCTGAAGGGAAAGGCTGGAGAGCGGGAGGAGGTATCCGTGTTTCGTGAGAATGTTAGAAATTCGATTGCGCTACGTACGTTGCGCGGGACGGGATGTGACGTGACGTCTTGCCGTCGACAGACGAGGATGACGGCCGTCGTTTTCAGTTGGTCGTCTGCGAAACGCCGTGCGTCTCTTCGGGCCTTGGAGGAGCGCCGGCGAAAATTCGTCGCAACACTTCGGCGCCTCCTTTTCGTCTCCGCCGTTCCCGCCTCACGCAGTTTTCTTCACGCCTCTTCACACAGACACGAAACCTTTGGCAAAATTTGATCCTGGGCGCACCTATCTTCGGGGCTATTGGCTGATACGTTGTGTGGTGGGTTGGTTACGGGTTTTAATCTCACTGATCTCTCTGCCAGTCACATATCCACACGTCGACGGAACTCCTTCCTTACTCCTGTTCTCGCGTTTCCACTGTTAAAATCGAGACCGTCTTTCGAAGTCTCCGAGTTCCATCACATTCGGCTCTCGGCAAAGTTATTTTACCGGAAGGGACCAGTCTCGGGGAGCCTCGAACGTCGCGTGGAAACAAACGTGTCGAAGGAAATGTTATTTTATCGAATTTGTCGAACTTGCGGTGGACACGCATGATCCCCAAAAATCAGAATCTCGAAATTCGAAAGCTGGGACAATTTCACTCACATTTCATTATTCCCCGAAAAGTCGTAATCCCGAAATTCGCAATATCGAAGAGTACAATTTTCCCGAAAAAAAATTTTTATCCCGGAAGAACAGCACACCCAGGTATATGAATGCCCAGTCATTTGAGCGCACTCCTGCTGTGCTCAAATGAACAGCTGTATACACTCGATTGTACAATGAGACGGTTCCGACATTTCGGTGAAATTGTACGCTACCGTTTCAAAGCTTGGAGCAACCTGTAATCTCGCGACAAGACCTTATATTCGCGCGACAAGATTTTATATTCAGATATAAAGAGACGAACATGCAGAAAAACTTAAACGTTGAACGTAAACAGCAAGCGAATTAGCCAATCATAGTTGGATATTTTTTGTAACCGCAAGAGGAATAATCAATTTTGATTAGCCAATTCCCTCACTGCTTGCATCTTATACCGCTCGAGTCCTTCTGTGTGTATCCGGGTCTCAAGTAATTTTATATCTGAACACAAGGAATATAAGAAAGTATAAGGTGCTCCAAACTTTTAAGCGACGATGCACTTGCTCAGATCGCCTCGCGGTATTCGGATTTCGATGCTACGACATTTCAGCAAGTTGGCCAGCGATTTTAAATTTCTTCTCGGGATGATGCGTGCCCACCGAATTTGTCGACCTCACTTGAGTCGAAAGGTCTCAAACTGTAGAATCGTCACCGTGGTAGAATAACTTTGCCGGGTCCCACGCGGAACATCGTCACGAGCATGATTCGGACGAGCGATGGACGTCGAGCTCGGCACGCGGCATCGACGGGACCGCGACCTTGCAACCTCGCGACGTAGACGACGCGAGTCAGTGGCGGGACATCGCGTGTTCCGGCGATCCCGGGTGCGCCGAACGATGGCAGAGTGAGCTAGCTAGCGAGCGAGCGAGCGAGCGAGCGAGCGAGCAACCGTCTTTCCTTCAAAGATTTAATCTCCTTACCACCTTCGCGCCCTCGCCGGCGCTGGGTCCTTGTTACAGGCACTCACGGTCATATGGGCGCTCTGCTGTCGTTGCTGCGCTCCGACTACAAACAGGAGCAGCAGACATCGACGAAGAAGATGCACCGTACGTCCGCTCCGATGGTGATGACGCGTTCCTCCATGGGCATGACGAACAGGCGCGCCAGTAACAGCAACGTTGGCGACCATAACAGCTACGACGAAGGTAGCGGCGGTGACCATGGCAGTAGTGGGGGCGGCGGCGGCGGCGGCGGCGGCAGCGGCGGCGGCGGTGGCAGCGGTGGCAGCGGCGGTGGCGGCGGCGGCGGCGGCGGCGATGGTGGCGGTAGCGGCGGCGGCGGCGGCGGTGGCAGTTGCGGACGTAGCGGATCGTCAGGTCGCGAGGTCGTCTTTCCCGACTCGTTCGAGGTGTTACCGCAGCCGCGTGACTTCAGTGTTGTCTACATGGGTGTGCCTCACGAGCAACAGCGAAAATTCCGCTGTCGCTTCTGCGGCAAGGGCTACCGCTGGAAGAGCACGATGCGTCGTCACGAAATGGTGGAGTGTGGTGGCAAACCTCCGGCCTTCCAATGCCCGCAGTGCCCTTACAAGGCGCGGCAACGTGGAAACCTCACCGTGCATTTCAAACGGCATCATCAGAAAATGGTTTACGAGGAGAACGCACTTACTTAGGACGCGCACACAACCGGCCGAATGTGCTTTCGTCGGAGGAGCGGAGCTGTTAAGTTTCTTCGCATCCGCGGCGACTGATGTTGATATTCGCATGTCTGCATCGTAGACTCGCACCTCCTTGAGGAACGTTCGCTCTTATCGCTATCCTTATCCTGGGTGGACGCGCATTGAAAAATCGAAATTTCAGAAAGCAGGACAATTCCCCGAAGTTCGTGATCTTGAAATTCGAGTACCAGTCCCGAAAGTATATAATTGTCCCGGAGAAACTATATATTTCGAGGACTGTTACCTCGAAAATAATATACGTAGATGTATCAATATTTACCTTTTTTTCAGTATATTGGGTTAAGTAAAAAGTTTTGAGCGTTTTCCTCTAGATGGCTTTAATGAGGTCATATCTCACGATGTATACGTCGCATCTGGTCATTCTATACTGCGACTTAAAGGTAACATAACGCTTTAGAAAAAGTTCTTTGACAGTTTTGTGTTTGGTGAAGCTAGTTGTGTGTTAGAGCGTTCCAAAATGGAGGTAAAAAAAAGAGAAAATTCGATACATTCTTCAGTACCACTACGACCAAAGGGAAAAAGCGGAGCAGGCGGCCAAAAAAATTTGTGCTGTTTATGGACCCAATACAGTATGGAATGCAACAGCAAAGCGGTGGTTCCAACGATTCTGTTCTGGTAATATGGACGTCGAAGATGAGACACGCTCTGGTAGGCCAATCGTCGAAAATATCGATAAAATCATGGAAATCGTCGAGTCGGACCGGCATGCGAGCACTTTTCCATTGCCCAGGAACTGAAGATTAGCTAGAAAACCGTTTGGAACCATTTGCATAAGTCTGGTCTCAAGAAGAAACTCGATGTATGGGTGCCACACGAATTGACGCAAAAGAACCTTTTGGACCGAATTCATGCCTGAGATTCTTTGCTGAAGCGTAACGAAATTGAAGCGAATGGTGACTGGCGATGAAAAATGGGTCACATACGAGAACAACAGGCGAAAAAGATCGTGGTCCAAGCGCGGTGAGCCGGTCCAAACGATCGCCAAGTCCGGATTAACGGCCAAGAAGGTTTTACTGTGTGTTTGGTGGGATTGGAAGGGAATCATCCACTATGAGCTGCTCCCATCGGGCCAATCACTCAATTCGGACCTGCACTGTCAACAACTGACCAGATTGAAGCAGGCGATCGACAAGAAGCGGCCAGAATTGGCCAATAGGAAGGGTGTTGTGTTCCATCAAGACAATGCCAGGCCGCACACATCTTTGACGACGCGCCAGAAGCTCCGAGAGCTTGGATGGGAGGTTATATCGCACCCGCCGTATAGCCCAGACCTGGCTCCAAGCGATTATCACCTTCTCAAGCATTTGCAAAATTTTCTTGATGGTACAAAACTGGCCTCAAGAGAGGCTTGTGAAAATGAACTGGTCAAGTTTTTTACCAATAGGGACGAGGACTTCTTCAATCGCGGAATTATGAAATTGCCTTCAAAATGGAGTTATCGAACAAAACGGTGCATATTTGATTTAAATCCGATAATCCTAACTTTGTTAATTTCATCGTCGAAATAAAGAGAAAGAACGCTCAGAACTTTTTACTTCACCCAATATTTTTAATGCATTCAATCAAGTATTAATATATATCAATACGTATATGTAGTATACGTAGTATATGTATGTACGTATAAATATATTAATACAATTAAATATGCATTGAAAAAAAAAAACTCCGTAGTTCGGAAAACCGGATAATTTTCCGAGATCGTAATATTAAAATTTTGATATATTCTTTTTGTCTTTTGGGATCTGTTCTTCACCGCCATGATTTATCGGGTGATTATTTCTCAAGTGTTGTGGTAGATCGAGTAACAAGGCGAGTCACCGTCGAAATGGAGAACGATCATCGTGCAGGGTCCAAGTTCTTTGGCAAACTTCACGAAGGACGCTCTCAAGTCCACGATGCCCTCCTTTTATCTCGCGCTTTGCAATGTTAAATTACATAGAACTTGTAACATGTCGGGCTTTCGTGGCTGGAATACACCCAAGTTTTGAGAGTTGAATGAAGAATGAAGTTAACCTGAAATAGAAGAGTAGTTTTAGCTTTGAAGCACGGGAAGGTATTCATCAGTTTGCACGACAAACCCTCTCTTAGATACAATTAATTTTAAAACTGACTCAAAGCTGAGTCTCTAAGTGTTCGAAGAACCTCCGATTAAATTGTTACACTTGCTACAATTTTGCTAATGACGTGTCAGTCTTTAGCGCCCCTCAAGGATTTACATATATGTATTTCTCCTTCTGTAGATCTGCTAACAATGATAACTATTAGCGTTTCAACGTAGCCGCAGGGAGAGAGGAGGAAAATTAGTTTGCCGAAATTTACACGTGTACACGATCGTATACGCGAGAGCGTCCTCCGTGAGAAGCACTTCGCGACAATCTGTCATTATTCGAGCAAGTGTGTAGAAAATAATCCGTGAGCATTTCGTGAGCGAGCCTCCAAGTGTTGACAAGGATTTGTTGATTTCTGATTCGTACGCTTTGCCTTTCTCGATCTTTGCGCGAACTCGAAATCCACGTAGACTCGTAATCTCACTTAGAGATGCGCTTAATATGGCCGTCCAATTGCCCAAGGTTGTCTCTCCGGACAAGCCGTTCGACCACACACGGAGACCGAGTACGACGACGTTGTTGACGCGAGATCAGAAACGGCCAGCCGTGTTTAAGGATATCCGCGAGCGAGCGCACGAGCTGGAGCGTTCGAAATAATTTATATACAACGATGGGTTATTTTAAAATAACATTATTGGCCTAGTTTTACTTGTTGGGGTTGGTGATCAATTAGATAGTTAGTAGCTCGCGTAACTCCGCTACCGTTCTTAAACCGTAAGTATACGCGACGACACTTTTACCGCGATCACGATCGAAGTCATCGAAGATCAGCCCGCCGATACTTGAGACTCGATTATCGCAACGACAACAAAGCGTTTGCACAAAGCAGTTGCGCGTCGCCAAAGGGATTTTGGCATGAATGGAAGTCGCGCCGTACATTCTGGAATCCGTTTCTCAATGAACGCGAGTGCGTATCGAACTTCACAAGTCGCAATACGTTCTCTGCGTTGGGAGACCCATCTATCTTTCTCTTTCTTAGACATTAACAAAATTTGTTGATCATTGTTATCACCGATTAAATTACCGCATCCAGAATCCAGGTTCTTATCAATTTGATATATTCAACGTATTTTTTAGTATCAATTTTATTGATAGAGGAGAAGGTGGCATGGCTACTTTCAATATCTCCGTTATTAGGTAGCAAATTCCAATGAATTACTACTTATGGGTTCATTTGTTTAGTAGTTTGCCGTTAGCGCAGTAATGCTAATGTATCAACGCACAATAGCTGACACTTTTTATAACGCATTTTTACCTTCGAGTATTTCGAAATGTTTTTCAAGATACATTTTAACGTTTAATTAGACACGTTTCCTCATTATTTTTTAACTTGAGCGTTCATACGACATATGTATAATTGAGTATCTTGTTTGTTACTTGACATTTTATTCGGATGTACATCTCTTAAGTTACGCAAAGTTAAATGAAATAGCTTAACATGTTTTGCTAATGTGGCCCCATAAGAGTGCTGATCAACATTGTTTTTTTTTTCGAGGTTTTTGTACCAAAGTAATTATTCGACAAATCAATTTTAATCTGTAGTCCACTATTGCACTTATGTTTGCATCACACTGCTATCTTTCTGGCAGATTGTGTTTCCTGACGAGTAAGACAATATCCACGTTAAAAATTCGCAGTTATATTCATTATTATTCCCCTTCTAAGAGTTTAATTTGAATAAATATATAATCTCATAACTAAAGCACTTTGTGACTTAACTAAAGCACTTTGTGACATAACTAAAGCACTTTTAAACAAAATCAATTTTTGATATCAGTTTCAGTGGGAGACCACCACATTTTCTCGCTGACCCATTATACTGTGTTACCACATTTTTATAAATAACATCCCAGGTAATAAACATCACGTAACATCACTTTAAAATATTATTGACGATTAAAGGATTATTAACGAAGTTATTGTACAAAATATGAATGGAGGGTCACAGTGCCATTTTCTCCTCTATTATTCAAACTTTATTCCATAGGTAGAAACTGTAGTCTCGAATGTGATCTTGTGATTATTGCTTTATAGAATTTATCAGGTGCACATATATACTGCTTCGAAAGATCAATTGAAATTCAAAGTCTTGAAATTCGAAGATTAAAACAATCTCGCGAAATATATTTTTTTTCTTATCATAATACTTGACTTTGATAGATTCTTAAACATTAATGAAAACTTCGCGGTCAAATTTGCCGCGTGAAACTCAAGACACTCATTTTCCTCGTGTCGTTAAACGGAAAGCATAACGAAGGCAATTTGACCGCAGAATATGGATTCATGTTTCAAGGATATATCGAAGAAAAGAATGCATGTTCAAATCGTTGTGCAAACGAGTGTACAATTTAATCGCGTATTGGTTACACTATCTTTTACTTGTGCGAGACATGAGAAAATGAAAGCACAGACAAATCGCGTGTCGTCAGTGAAAAAGAAAAAAACGTGATGTTCGATGACATGAAATAACAGAGAGGGGGTAGTTCGCACAATATAAGAATTAGCTAACATAAGCGAGAGAGCGATGACGTCTCATCGACGAAATTCCTTTTATCTTTGAGCCTCTTTCGATCAAACCGAACGATACACTCCATTCGAAACGATCGACGAGAATCTCCAAAGTGCCTTTCGCGAGAAATCGACGGCCGGAAATCGCGAGCCGGAGTCGCGCATTCGTTGTTGGTGACGTTCGCGAAACGGTCGCCAGCAAATCGCGGTTACCTGAGATCATTTAGGATTACGATAGACAATAACTAGCCGTTCTTCCGACTTCGCGAGAATGCAAGTGTGAGAAACGTTTTGAGCATATTTATACATATTACATATCCAGACGTACCTTACACACATAAACACTCACACGCACACACACACATCGGAAAGATAGCGCGTCTATTGCGCAACCTAAGTATTTCCAAACGGGACATGCCGGCGATAGATGAGGAGTCGAATTTTTTTACCAAACATAATGGCATATCTATCTGACGCATAAAGTGATAAACAACGACAAGGATAGTAGGGAGGGTTTGAAGGAAGAAATTTACGTTACCCATCCGACAGTACAAAGATTCGCATTTCACAATCGTCTAACGCGTGTCTCGATCGGCGTAGGAAGATTAGCAGTGACGGCATAATCGACCTAGAGAGTAATTTACTATACTTCCTCTTTTTTATCGCTCCTCAAAGACCGAGATTCTCTCTCTCTCTCTCTCTCTCTCTCTCTCTCTCTCTCTCTCTCTCTCTCTCTCTCTCTCTCTCTCTCTCTTTCTCTCTCGCTCTCTCAGGAGCTTCAAGAGAGCATGTATCTTAATTAATCACACGGTTGTGTTTGAAACGTGATCCTCGATTATCGTTCATTATCTTCCCGTGAAGGAGGTTGTCGCAGGTTTGCAACCGCTTTGAGATATAATTTCCTTTTTTTTCTTTTAAACACGATCACGAGCGTAACTTCGATGAGATTCGCGATGATCGGAGAACACGGCGATCGTATCGTATAATGTTAAGCACCACTTGTACCTTTGGGCGATTTTACGAGCGCAGCCTGCGATATATAAGTTCGATCACGAAAGCGGATCGATCTCGTGATCCTCGATATCCTAGCGAGCGTCTCATTCAGGCTATATCGTTACAAAATAGCGATACGTAACGACCTTGCTATCAAAGAGAAGATAAAAATCGCTATAGATATTATCTCCAAAATATATTGATATCTTTAAGAAAACAGGTACACGCAGAAAAATATTCTGTAGTGACAACTGGAAATTTTCTGTTACGTGAAGTTCGGTTGCAGTAGCAGAAAATTCTGTTTCGCGAACCGAAATCATTCACATCAACAATTGTTGTTGGTGGTAGTTTGAAGGAACTTAAATTTTCGATCTCAAAGGTATAGTTAGTACGCAGCAGAGGCTGCTCTTACAGGAGGCGTGAACTATATCATATACATAAAGAGAAACAAAATCTCAGTTGCCGCGACTGAAAAAATGAAGAAATTGCCAGTGCGATTTCAACTCTGCCGCGCAAGTTTTTTTTTTGTCTCTCCATTTATGTGGAAGACGCTCTGTTTATTCGTATGTAGAACAGAACTTGTATCCTTGACAGCATTAATGTTCGATTGAGGTGATCGAATATATTTCTGAGACAACTGAAACCTTCCTACGGAATTTCTCTTGTGTTGCAACCGAATTTTCAATTGATTCCTAAGGAGTGGAAGATTTCGATTGTCGTAATTGAAATTCAGTTATATCAACTGAATAGTTTTCTGCATGTATAATGTCAGATTATCGCGTTCGCGGGCTATAGAGTGTAACGAGTCTAATGATTTTAACCTTCATCAATTTTATAAAAATAATCAAGTAGTCAAAAATAGAGCCAACAGGCGATATCTGTGAACATCTAATGAAACGAGGCGACGCTTTTTAACTTTTATATTGTAAGGGGATAACTAAACGAAGAGAGTGAAATGACATTAGGGAGAATTAGATACTAAGGAAGTAGTGGTCATTTTATCTGGAAGAAAATTAAGATACTAATTATATATATAGAAAAAAAAGACCACTTTTGGATTTATAAGGTAGATTACAGCAATTTGAAAATTTGCATGGATCTCGTAAAGAGAAAATATGTTAAGGTTGAGTGAACTGCGCGGTTCTGGCAGAAGCAGAAATCTAAAATATCGATAATTGTATTGTAATTATTATTATAGTATTGTTAACTTGACACTAACATTTTTCTACGATATCCGCAGGAAAAAATTCATGGGCTACGTATTCAGATTGTGTTTGCGATTTTCGGTATTTATAATCTCACTTTCGTTTCTAGCGTTCGCTCATCCAACGTCTCTTTGCCGGAAAACAAACTTATGTTCGGTAGTATATATATAATTTTTCTCTTTTTCCTCTTCTATTTTACGGTGCATTTTGAAGGAAATCATCGACATACATTCTGCCGATAAATATGTAATCGCAACAGCTCAACGTCGATAAAACAAAACGAGTACCGATGAAAATGTCGTCAGTGATGTGCGATCCTCATTTGCTTGACGTAATTCTCCAGCGCGGATCGACGAAATCAACCTGCTTGTCGTGCCGCGCAGGATACTCATAGGTTTATGTACAAAAAACGTCTTTTCCATTTTTATATACAATACATATTACACGTTTTTACATACATACATATTTCATGTTGATAAATTATAATTTTGTCAACTGTCAAGAAACTATTTTAAAGACATGTCAAATGCGAGCCTAATAAATCTCTTTTGACACTTAAACATAATGTACAAAACAATATACATGTCTTTCTTGAAAAGTCTCATAGAGAACATAATGTATATACCTGTATGTATGTACGCATGTATGTACTAGATATCTGTAAGCTGTCATAGGAAATTATCGCCATTCTATTCATGTGCCGAGTCTTTAATATATTTTAGAATCAAAGCTCCACTCACATATGATGATATCAAAGTATCTACAATTATGAACAGTTGGAGCTATCAGATGAAACAGTTTACCGAAATCTCATCTCCTTATTTAAGCGACATTTTGTCGAGAGGAACTTCCTACTGGTTGAATCAGCAAGGTTAATCAGAAAATCTGCAGGTGGGAAGAATTGCGATAGTTGCATGACGTATATAAACACAACAAATAAACACACATATCGGGAGAAAGAGAGATACTAAGAAAGAGAACGAAAGTAAAACGTCGACGCACGTCCGGCCATGGAACGCGCGTCAGTATTTTTGATATCAGTATTTGCGAACGCGCTTGCGTATCTACCTGCCTGCGAGATGACGCAGGATATACTCGTTGCATCTTTATCTATAGCTCTTGACCTCATGACCTTCATCATGAGCGCCGGTCCGACTCGACCGCCTTCCGCCACCGCGGAGTTGATCGACCTCATCATTCCAAGACTTTTGTTACCGAATTCTTATCTCACTTAATATTTAAGAGTACACGTTTTATATATAATTAATAATTGCCAACACATCTCCATCTCTCTTTTTATTCCCCGTTTAAGGTCTCTTTTTAGCGTGTCGGGCGAGGAAGGGGGACGAGCACACGAGGCCGTACGAAAGTCGGTGCATTCCCTCCTTCGTCGCACCTCGGTTCTGATATATTTGTGACATTCCGTCTCCCTCTCTTCTTTCCTTTTTACTCGACAAGTTTTATCAGGCGAACTAAGAATGCATTCTACTATTAATAAATATTATATACATAATTTTTATTATTAATAATATTATTATAATAAAAACACTCTCTTTGTTGCGGGTTATTTTCTAAAACCGACGTGTTTGTTCTTTTCACCAGAAATTCACCTTTCATTCTTCGTTATCACTGGCGAATTTTATATGTCACATTTTAGGAGAACACTCGGCGAGGTATAGCAATTATATTATTTATATTAATAGCATTTATATTAACCAGGATTTTAATATGATATATGTGACACGCATACGGTAAAAAGTGAAATCACTTGTGTGATCTTTTCGAATGTTTCTTTTTCCGAATATTTGATCAAATTGGATTGTTTCTAATCGTATCAGAGATTTTCTAATAAGTAACTATTAATTCTATAACATAATCTAAATAGTTACAGAACCGTCTTTTCATAATGAGAAGAACACATTTTTCGATATCATCAATTGATATATATATATATATATAATTGGGTAAATAATAATACAAATATATAAATGTTTCAATGACATATGTATAAGTCATTACAAGTTTCTCTTGTGATATTGTTATATAATAATTTTTATAATATTATATATATATAAAATTCTCATAACATGGTTCATAAAAAAGGTTCTCTTTATCTGGTATGTCATAAATCTCGAACTGTGACAAAAAGTTCGAAATGTCTGAAGATTCGCATCATTGTATATTTCCGAAACGTTTATATATTTTACATCATTATGTAGTAAAATTTATGTAAGCATCAAGTATTACTAAAATGTCATTTCATCGGTAATATTTCGGTGTTTGCTCTTCCAGTTCATCTACATGTCCGCATATTTGCGAGCTACGGTGCATCTCCACGTGTGAAACTACCTCTCTCGAGTGGCACAATCAATGTCTTTGAGGCATCTTTCTAACCAATATATCTTTGCTTTCAGTAACATGGTACCCGCTACCCACCAACTTCCAATTGTACTCATGCGACACTTGCGGTAGGCAGTACCGAAGTAAGATTTCTCTGCAACGCCACAAGAGGTTGGAATGCGGCAAGGAAGCGCAATTCAGTTGCGTACTGTGCCACGCGAGGTTCAAGCACAAACACAGCCTACTGAGGCATTACAACGTCCACATAGCCGACATGAAGATCGCGAATACGTTCGAGAACGAAGACAGACCCGTCTGATGGGCAAAGTGGCAGGAACTCTCGTTTTCCGGAGGAACAATGCGAGGAAGTATAACGAGATAGTAGAAATGTATAACGAGATATAAATGTTAAAAAATTGTTACGCTCATTCATGCACAAATGTGAACGATTCGAAATTGAAGTAATCTACAGGGAGAAATTAAAAGGATCGCAAATATATATTGCAAAGTTGAGTTTGAAATTATATCTAAAGACTGTGTTATTTATATGATTTAACGTAATTGGAATTTAATAAAATTTAGACAGAAATATTGAATTCTGTATGTTCCTATATACTTCTTTGTAATATTTTACACATATCTACACCATCGCTCTCTGTAATGTAGGAAATTGTATTTTTAACAATCAGTATCTCCTCTCTTCCATTGTCCTAGAAATAGGAGTTTCCGGTGCTATACGAGACAATAATGAGTGAAATGGGTTAAGAATGTTACTAGCGAATATTTTGTTATATTACGCAATATTCTAAAACGAGATGTTGATTGGCGAATATTTAATAGGAAAATTAAGCGTAAGATTTTATAATAAAATGAAATTGTTGTAATAACGAAAGCTGTTTGTCTATTAAATGAGTATCAAGTCAATTTTTCGAAAAATGACATGAAGAATAAAAAATATTTATTTAATAAACAGCTTGTATTTGAATATATTTGTGCATGCTCTTGGAGAATGATTTATTTTTTTTTTATTGGATTGTTGAATTAGAAATTTTATACGTATAGTGAGTACTTATATTGATGAATATTTATGTTACGTATAAATTACTTATATAAGCAACGCGATCAAATAAATATACATTACTGAAAAATATCCTGTAAGAATAAAACATATTATTTTAAAAATTGATTTAAAATAATATGAACTGCTAAAAATGTTAAAGAAGAAATTAAAAGATTTTTTATACTTTTACATCCAATGAAAAAAGATATTTTTCTAATTACATATTATATTTACTTTTTATCCGAGTTGTTCTGTAACGATGAAGTTACATTTGGAATTGCTTGCAGGTAACCGCACAATTCTATATAAAATTGAGCAAATGAAATTATAACCGGGCAATTATTCGTTATTTAATATTTGTAAATTTTATAAATTTATCGTGACTGTGTGAAATTGTGTTGCATCCTAAAAATAGTTTAATGTCTCTATAATTGGTTGAATAAAATTTTATTTTTAATCGAATTGCGATAATCCTTTCGATTAACTATCTCTTCTCTATGAACAACTCATTGTCAATCGCAAACTTTCTTTCACTCGAAAGGTTCATTTATTTATCTATCTACTTTATTAATCAATCATTGTTTCAGGTCGTGCTAATCCGAGTTTGACGTACCAGTACGCTCATCAACAAAACCCAAGTATGTTTATTTATCCTTTAAGACGTCCAACTATGTTTGAAAGTTTGTCAAAATTTTATTTCAACGTGTACAATGAAACGAAACAAGCGGTTTAAAATAAAATACGCGTATTTTTTTATACGTACATTTTTATAAATTTAAATGTTAGAGTAACCTCTCAAAGATAATGCAATAAAATTAATTGAAAGCGAATATCTTCAAAATCGTGGGATATATGAGAGTATTTTAGCTAATAAAATATTTTAAAGGGGCGTATTTTAGATAAAAGTTAGATAAAATGTGATATTTGACTTTATAATTTTGCACCTAAATTTTTCAAAAATTCCATACAAGATCGTGAAAAATAATGATTTTTGGAGAATCATGTAAAGTACAAATAAAATAATATGTGTTTCTTATTTTTAGCTGCTCTATAATATACAACGTTCATTTAGACCGGTGGAGAACATCTCCATTTGTATTTTTACAATCTTTGAAATACACAACTTTATCTTTAAAAAAGTATTGGGAACTTGAATAGGTTCTCGCTGTTTTTTTGTGAAAATGAATGCTTTATTTAAAAAAATTAGTAAAGAACATGTCATTGAAAGTATTGTCCATCGCTAGCCACTACTTTCTCCCATCTTCCTGGCTGCATACGAATACCATGTCGAAAGAATGACTCATCTTTTGAGGTTATCCACGAATCGACCCATTTTTTGGCATCTTCATAAGAATGGAAATGCTGCTCAGCCAGGACATGAGTCATCGATCGAAACAAGTGGTAATCGGAAGAAGCAATGTCCGGTGAATGCGGCGGGTGGGGTAGGACTTCCCATTTGAGTGTTTCCAAGTAGGTTTTGACCAGTTTTGCAACATGTTGCCGAGCGTTGTCATGCTGCAAAATTACTTTGTCGTGTCTCTCCTCGTATTACGGCCGTTTTTCCTTCAATGCTCGGCTCAAACGCATCAATTGTAGTCGACAGCGATCTCCCGTGATGGTTTCGTTGGGTTTGAGGAGCTCATAATATACTACACCCAGCTGATCCCACCAAATACAAAGCATGAGCTTGGAACCATGGATATTCGGCTTTGCCGTCGATGTTGATGCATGGCCGGGCTTACCCCACGATTTTCTACGCTTCGGGTTATCGTAATGTATCCACTTTTCATCGCCAGTCACGATACGATGCAAAAAACCTTTCCTTTTCTGCTGTTGGAGCAGAGCTATTCACACGTGAAAAACGCCGTTCGACGTCTCTCGGCTTCAATTCGTACGGCACCCAATTTCCTTGCTTTTGAATCATTCCTAATGCTTTTAAACATTTGGCAACTGTGGTGTGATCAACTCCTAATGATTCTGCAAGTTCATTTTGCGTCTGACATGGGTCTTCATCGAGTAATGCTTCCAATTCTTCGTCTTCAAACTTTTTCGGTGCGCCAGAGCGTTCTTTATCTTCAACATCAAAATCATTATTTTTAAAGCGTCTAAACCAATCTCTGCAAGTTGTTCCCGACAGAGCATGGTCGCCGTAAGTCTCCACAAGAATTCTATGTGCTTCAGCTGCAGATTTTTTTTTAAAAAAGTAATGCAGTAAAATTCCCCGCAAACACTCTTTTTTTGGTACGAAATTCGACATGTTTAACGCTATGAAAAAATGTTGTTTACGCTTCGGCGGAATAACATATACTGTCACTTCGAGCCTAATGGTGGAGCTTCACGATGAAGTTGGCTGTAGTATTGCCCGATGCAAAATGGCTAAGAAAACACCATCTGTCAGGAAACAGCGAGAACTTATTCAAGTCCCCAATAATATGTATATAACGTAAACAACACATTTTTCCCAACTAAACCTTCACAAAGTATTATAATATATTGACGAATCATCTTTCGACACTTTGTAACTATTAATCAATCAACTGGTTGTCAACAAATAATCTCGACTATAACAACATAATGCCCCATCGCGAATATTTTAGTACACGAGATTACAAACGGTTGCATTTCGTTTCAACGACTGGGTCCGCTTTTCTTTGTTATAGTTTCAATGCCGCTGCACTGGTATCCCACACGCGCTTATGTCCGTGCGAATTTAACGCGACGGACGTTTGCCTGTAAGAATTGCCCGCGTACGTACAGCACCACGCGCGCATTGAAGTTTCACGAGACAGCCGAGTGCAATCAGAAGCCCAGGTTCATCTGCGACTTTTGCTCCTACCGAACCCTGAGACGAAGCAATCTGCAAAGGCACATGCTACGTCATAAGAGAGACATGCTGTAACATGATCGAGACTGCACTTGACCTCATTCTTAGCCGCTCGACGTGTCTTCTCTCTAACGAATTCGTAACTTCGAACGATCCGAGGAGTTGGAAGTTTCCCACAAAACGACTTATGGCAAAAGATGTCTGCTACCGAAAGTCAATCAGTCCAAACATATAAAAATATAAATATAAAACATATAAAAAATGACTAGAGGACTATTGAATTGAATCTGATTTCACGATTTGTACTTTGCATCTACATGTTGGTCATCGCGAAATGCACGATGAAATTTGATATATTTCAACGACATTTACTGTGTGAATTGAATAAATGAGGTTGATGCAAGGATAAAAGATGATTGACTTGAATGTTGTGATTTCTTTACACAATGAAACTTTACATAAAACATTTCACGCGGCGTCGATTCATCCATAACGATCCTTGTATTTGTTTCTTTTAGTGTACTATGACTCGACCCTGGTCACGCCGACTAAAACTGAATACCAAGACACCTACAAGGATCCTTTGGCACTCGAGGAAGATGATCTGAATGAATATCGGTATGGCCGAAGAATCAAGTACATGTGTGACGTGTGCCATTACACGTCTGAGAGGAAATATAATCTACGGAGACACATCAAGTGCAAGCACATTAAGAAGAAGAAGAAGCGGAAGAAACATGTTCCAAACTAAAAATTCGAGAATCTTATACCTACATAATTCTCTCTAACATTCTTTTGCTGAGGCTGTAAGTCGGAGCAAAGGGGTCTCGAAATGACAAAAATTCCGATTGAAAAAATCATACATTTCTCCTGTTTCCCATATCATTTTTTTCTTTCTAATGATTTTCGTTGACCTGTGACGCGACCCCATGTTGCGACACACGTCGAGAATATACGTTAAACGTATCTTCAACCGAGATATCTCGAGGGATGAAAATTGTAGTCGAAGAACTTTTCTAATATAATGTCGACGCGAGGATTCTTCATTGCAACCAACCAGATTAAGAATTTATGCCACAACGAATTCTGCAGCGTTCAATTGCTGGTGCAGATGACATTCTCTCTTTTATTTAATTAATATATTGAATATATTGAATTGAATAAATGAATACCACAGTCGGATAATCTTTAGGAGATCGTCCAAGTCCGTCACCAAAAGATGTTATTTCACGAAATTAGCTTCTTGCAGTAGCAAATATTACAAATATAATGTAATTAAGATATTTTATATGAACATATTTTTATAATATAGGTATATACCTATGTATGTATAAATATTTCCTCAGTAATCTAATGGCTACTTAAATCTTTGTAAACAATCGAAATTCCAATATCTATGTAATAGTGAAATAGTGAAAGCGAATATATCAAATAA